TTTTAAAAAGTCAGTCTCTCTTAATTCTCCCCGAGCTATAATCTCACTTGCCAGAAATAATCATTGTTAATAATTCCATGACTTCCCTTCTGGGCACTCAAGATTTTTTTATAAAAACCTACTCGGGGAACTGCATATAATTTTCTGCAATTACTTTTTTAACAATATAATGCAGACAAGTTTCAAAACAGCATAAATAGTACAGTCAGTTTAATGACTTTTCACAGTTTCCTGACTTATGACATTTCTGTATTTCCCAACAATTTCCTTACTAGAGACGTTACATGCTTGCTGATTTTTTTATTGCTAGAAAAACGACCTGAATAAACATTCCTGTTTTTCCCCTTGGTAAACATACTTATATATAAATCCTTGAGAATACCAATAGTTTAAATTCGTACAGTGAAACTATAAAGCTGCCATTTTTTTTAATACTAAGAAATTGTCCTATGAAAGGGCTGTTACTAATTTAGGCTACCACCAGTATGGTTGCTCCTTTTCACTGTGCATTTGCCAATGATGAATAATATAAATCTTCATAATTTGAAGAGCAATAATCAGAAGGAGGAAAAAGTTAAAATTTTAAATTGTATTTTCCTAATTATGTACTTTTGGAAAAAAAAATGGAGGAATTTTTTTTTTTTTTAGGAAAACTTTTCCAAACGCGTAAAATTTTTTGCACTTTTATTATTCTTTTTTGAGTTGGCTAGATTGGGATAAAGGGGATATGTGAGCAATTAGCGAACTAGTGAGATGGACTGAGGACAAGGCAGGCTTCAGAGTTGCTGTACATAGGGTCGCTATGGGTCATAGGCAACTCGATGGCACATAACAACAGTCACATCATTTGCCTATTTTTTCCCCTATAAGGTAAGTACAAATAACAGACTTGAAGATATACATCTGTATACATATACACACTGATGTCATGTTAGAAATGACTCACAGCTATTTCTCTAGGGGAGTTTCAGAAAAGTCTTCCTGTAAGATTTACAGCCTCTAAAAATCTGCTATGAATTCTTTCTGACTAAACAGCACATAACAACTGCGTGTGTATATAATAATTAATAACACTGGACATGTTACAAGGAAAGAATGGTCCTTGGAGAGGTACATCATGCTTGGGAGGGTGGAGGGGCATTGCAGGAGAGGAAGACCCTCAATGAGATAGATCGATTCAGTGACTGGGTCAATGGGGGTAGGTGTTTCAGAGACAATAAAGTTGGCACAGAACAGAACAGGGTTTAGGGCTCTTGTACATAGGGTCACTATGAGTCACAAGCGACTCGACAGCAAGTAACGACAAGAAGAAAGACAAATCAGAATAATATGTTCAATCAATCTAGTCTTTTTCAAAAAATAAACAGTTGTAGCTTCATACCTGGCCAGTACTGAAGATCTGAACAAATGCCTTGAAGAGTTCTTGGATGTTGTCGGTGCCAGCAAGAGGAACGTAAAGTACTAAATATATCTAGGTAACCTGGAAGGAAATGGAGGTAAAAAAATATTCTAATTGCCAAACAAAAAATTGCTAAAGAAACAAGGCAATTTCATCAAATACTCCAAAATTTAAAACAATGAGTTACATTTTGTATTTCCCAATGACAGGACTCTGCTTTTATTGTTCCGTAGTACTCCAATCCTGAACTCTCAGGTCTTCAGTTTACTGTGTCATTTGTCCATCAGACTTTTTTTTCTTCTTCCCCAAAATTCCTTCAGTTTATAGCCAAACAACAACAAAGAAGAAAATATT